AGGTCGTTTATGCAGATGTAACATCACTATTGTGAATGACCTTTTTGTACATATTTTTCTTATCTCCACAATTAAATTCTTACATGGTAATATGCATTCACTCACATTGATATGCAGTCACTCACAACTTTGTGCTACGGCTCATTAAATGTTTGTTTAATTATTATTGTATATTGTATCTTATCTTATTCTTGTATGGATGTCTGTTTAGCTATTCGTATATGAGCATAAATTTGCTGTTTTTATTGAAAATGCAATATTTGATATCTCAAAAACCTGATGTGATAGACAAAAACTGATGACAGATTTGGAATCAGCACCCCAAAATTACCTTAAAACCGTTGGAATACCTTATGCCAGAAAAAGTGTGTTGACCAGTGTAATCACACTCATTAATGGAGTTGAACAAATATCCCACGAACGGACCACAGAACTTGTGCAATCGTGAGTGCGAGTTTTGGCTGCCTTCCTTCTCACTTGTGATCTGTGATTGCCCATGTGAAAAATATGCACGTCACCAATTCTACAGCGTTTTGAGATGCAATGTGTATGAACAATGCTTTATATAAAAAAAAAACTCCACTCGTTCATCAAAAAAATGTGGCCTTAAAGGAAAAATATATAATAGGTGACCTTTTTGGCAAAGTCCTTTCTTCAGAGCACATACATCGAGAGGCCAGACAGATAGTGGATGCGAGTTGGAGACTGTACAATATAGAGCCTGATAAGAATTTAAAATGTTTTAAAGCATATTAATATTTACCTATTAGTAGCTAGAGTAACAGAGTAGGAAATAACTTTGACTTTGCATCACATTTCGCAAAACTTAGATATTGAACAGCCCAGCCCTAGTCTTCAGCAAGCCTACACATATCTTATAAACGTACGCACCAACTTACTGACACACTGTGGGGAAACTTGGGCAATGTGGTGATAGCTTTGCGCGTGCACCTTTAATTTTATATTTTCTGGGTGCACTTTGAGTTTCTACATAACCATTACTGGATGCCAATTGAGTTTCTTACATTCCTGGGTACCCTCATTGGATCCATTCATGGATACATCTTGAGTTTCTGGCCTCGTTGACTGCGCACTGTTTTAACAATTAGCGCGGGGAGGAGAGGCAAGGATGATGATGATGAGAGTGCGACTCGTGCTCATATCAAAGAGCCTCCGTGTGAAATCACAAGAGGTGCAGCACGCACACCCTCGTAGGCCTGGCCATCCTAGCCGTCGTACACTGCACCCTCCTGTCGAGTTACACAGCTAAATATAACCGGTCCTGTAATCTACCGGCTTTGGGAACGCAATGTCGCGCTCACACTACACGCTATCTCCATTTTTGCCAGTGGTCACACTACTCAAGTTTCTGATCCATCGTTTTTGGTGAGGCCAGGGTTGTAGAGAACGGGACACGCAGTGAGCTCAGCGTCAGTCTGAAGTGACCGCGGTGTTGTGGAACCATAGCCATGACTGATGCCGGTGGCAACAATCAGAGAGGCGTTGCCGAGCTGCTTTGACTCATGGGTTTCTGTAATCGTGACCTCACGGCTCAGTTCTTCGTCATCAGGAAACAATGCAGATTGGTAACAGCTTAAAATACACACATAGGCAGTGCTTAGTCACGGGGCAGTGGCCCTTGCTGACAACTGCACAGAATCAGTGACAATGTTACATTTAGAAATTAAAAAGACGAGTAAAAATGTATCAACTACGTGCAATATGTGGATCATACACCCCCACCACTCAACAAAATAAATAAAAATCCGGCAATACACCTCCCTCACATCTGGTACTCCAAAACAAGCCTATTCTTTACACATCCAATCAGCCACACGGTTTTCTGAAAGAGCATTATTTGGCAAGAATTGGTTCAACACAAATAAACTCTGGACCGGTTTCAACATTCAGTGTCTCAATAGCAGAGCCCGGCTTGCTTCAACCAATGTTAGTGAATTTACAGATATTCATGAAGATGAGCCCTAACAATTAGTGTGGTAGTGAAGTAAAAAAATACATGGAAGGTTATTTTACGAGGAATGTTACATTAAATACACAAATACTTTTGACTGTTTGCTTCTCAACACTAGTGGTGCAGGGACAAAGGGGCAATGGGAACTGTGATTCTTTGAGATGCAGTTCTCTGGTGCAAGTAGGCTAGGGATCAATGCGACCTCATAATGAAGAGCCCCAGAACCAACGTTTCCTGGAAACTGGGGTCCTGAACAGGGCTGCCTGAGTGGAATTTGTAAACTAAAGGCACCTGTCGTGCTTCATCTTCTTACTGATCGTCAGCGGTTGCTAATTCCATCCCGGGTGCTGCCGACACAAAAACAGCCCTGCCAGTAAACCATGGCAGCCTCTCTCATACGTCCCAGCCTCGGACACCCACTCTCAAAAGACAATACCCACAGACCCCTAAACTGAGCAACTGAGACCTATAAACCCAGCAAAGGAGGATCTGAGACTCCAAGGCCATACAAACATGATACCTACACCAAGATGCCAGGATCCCTAAATACAGACCTCAAAGACTCAAGATTCTGAGGTTCCTAGACATAGAAAACCAGACCCCTGCAAACAAACTCCGAGCCCCCTTAAATTCCCAAGCCAAGACCCAGAGACATAAATACCCCTTGACCAGAGATTGCTAAAGCCAGACCGGACCCTGGGCCCATTAAACCGAAATCATAAGACCCTCAGGCACTATATCAGCAAAATCACAAACTTCAGACAGCTCGGACCACACAACTTGGATAACTAGACCCCAAATGCTATGAGACCTTCATACACACAATCCCAGACCCCGGGGCCCAGACCCCGGGGCCCAGACCCCGGGGCCCAGACCCCGGGGCCCAGACCCCGGGGCCCAGACCCCGGGGCCCAGACCCCGGGGCCCAGACCCCGGGGCCCAGACCCCGGGGCCCAGACCCCGGGGCCCAGACCCCGGGGCCCAGACCCCGGGGCCCAGACCCCGGGGCCCAGACCCCGGGGCCCAGACCCCGGGGCCCAGACCCCGGGGCCCAGACCCCGGGGCCCAGACCCCGGGGCCCAGACCCCGGGGCCCAGACCCCGGGGCCCAGACCCCGGGGCCCAGACCCCGGGGCCCAGACCCCGGGGCCCAGACCCCGGAGGTTGCCCCCCCGGGCCGACCTCTCCCTCGGGAGAGGCCGCGCTGCACCCCGCGCGCGACGCCGCTGTCCGAGACGACGCCTCCACCAATCGTGTCGCGCATACGTACACCTCGTGACCGCGCGCGACCAATGGCGTCCGGGCCGTTGGCCCTGCATTGACCGTTACACTTCCCCAATAACAAACATGAACAACAACAGACAACACACCTCACACAACAACACTCCCCACACAACAACACTCCCCACACAACAACACTCCCCACACAACAACACACCCCACACAACAACACACCTCACACAACAACACTCCCCACACAACAACACTCCCCACACAACAACACACCCCACACAACAACACACCTCACACAACAACACTCCCCACACAACAACACACCCCACACAACAACACCCCTCAACACCACAACACACCAACACGCCTCACACCAACACGCCTCACACCACAACACTCCTCACACACAACACACCTCACAACAACACACCTCACACAACACACCACAACACACCTCACACAACAACACCCTTCACACCACAACACACCTCACACAACAACACAACACACACCACAACACACCTCACACAACACACCACACACACAACACACCTCACACCACAACACCACATCTCACAACACAACACCACACCTCACACCACAACACACCTCACACAACACACCACAACACACCTCACACCACAACACACCTTACACAACAACACAACACACACCACAACACACCTCACACACAACACACCTCACACACAACACACCTCACAACACACCTCACACAACACACCTCACACCACAACACACCTCACACAACAACACCCTTCACACCACAACACACCTCACACAAAAACACAACACACACCACAACACACCTCACACACAACACACCTCACACACAACACACCTCACAACAACACACCTCACACAACACACCTCACACCACAACACATCTCACAACACAACACCACCCTCACAACACAACACCACATCTCACAACACAACACCACACCTCACACCACAACACCACATCTCACAACACACACCACATCTCACAACACACACCACACCTCACACCACAACACCACACCTCACAACACACCTCACACAACAACACACTTCACACAACACACATGCCCCACACACGCATCACAACACACACCTCACCAATACACACAACGCACACGTCACACACAAGACTTAGACCACATACATAACACACATTTACACCCCACAACACACGCCCCACTCCAACACACACAATACTTAGACCGCAAACATTTACACCACACGACACACACAATACTTAGACCACACACACACACACACTACGCACACACTACGCCACTTAAGAATTCCCTCATCGTCTCCTTCCCCAAGCTCTTACAATAACCTTGCTCAATATAAAAAATGAACGTGTTGTACTCGTATCTATTACGTTGACAGTGCTGTTTGTTGCCGGCCGCTTGACGTTCTGCATCTTTGGGTCGGTGTCCTCAGCAGCTTTGATTTCAAACGCAGCGGCTCTGCAACAAGGAGGGGGCGCGGGCCCATCGCCACGCAGAGCGCGTCTCCGCCGCGCACACTGGGACCCCTCTTCTCCCGTCGGCGGCGGCGGGGTCTCTTTCCCCGCGATTCCAAGGACAACCTTGATCAATTCACGTAGCGTGTGTTTAGCGCTTGTCTGTTACAACTTTGACGGCGCTGCTGGTTGCTGGCCGCAATGCGTTTTATAACTTTGGGCCTGTGCTCAGCAACCGTGTTCAAGAAACCCCCACCACCACCACCGCCACCAGAAGAAGACCGCGGACCACTGCGGCAGCCACACACACACACGAGCGTACCTCGCCAATCCGCCCGGGGCGACTCAGCGTCTCGCGTGGACCGGGGTCGGCGTGACGGCTCGAGGAGCCATGACGCCGCAGCGGGACGAGGCGGGGAGACGACGAGCAGCGGGCCGCGCTCTCCCTCTCCTCTCACCGCCGGTGACGTCAGCCGCACCACGTGAGCTCGGCGTCCGTCGCCAGGGCAACGGAAAGCGGAGACGTCACGCGCCAGGCGCACGTGGTGCTGCCCCTGCGCGGGGGGGGAAGGGCAGAGGAGCGACGCTCACAACAACGACCAGAGCGTCGGGCCGATAAAACGCAGAACGTGAATACATCTGCCAGTCATCTCAATCAGTCAACCCATGGCACCTGGGTCTGTTTCGTGACATACTGCCAGCCGGCCTTGGACACTTTACGTGGCCTCAAAGTGCACCGAGCATGGTACAAACGCCATGGGGACGTGAGTGGTGAACTGTGCTTCTTGTTGTGGCACGGGGGAGGAAGAGGTGTTTGTCTGCGGAAGCAGAGCCCATCCGAACCCGACTCCCTGATACCCTTCAGCAAAGTGTTCCAGTCCAGGGGCATCAGAAGCAAAGGTGCAGAGATCGCCCACACGAAACTGTGCGAGTCGGAGAGAGACATTTGCTTGTAAATGTACAGTGAGGGAAAAAAGTATGTGATCCCCTGCTGATTTTGTACGTTTGCCCACTGACAAAGAAATGATCAGTCTATAATTTTAATGGCAGGTTTATTTGAACAGTGAGAGACAGAATAACAACAACAAAATCCAGAAAAATGCATGTCAAAAATGTTATAAATTGATTTTCATTTTAATGAGGGAAATAAGTATTTGACCCCCTCTCAATCAGAAAGATTTCTGGCTTCCAGGTGTCTTTTATACAGGTAACGAGCTGAGATTAGGAGCACACTCTTAAAGGGAGTACTCCTAATCTCAGCTTACCTGTATAAAAGACACCTGTTCACAGAAGCAATCAATCAGATTCCAAACTCTCCACCATGGTCAAGACCAAAGAGCTCTCCAAGGATGTCAGGGACAAGATTGTAGACCTACACAAGGCTCGAATAGGCTACAAGACCATCGCCAAGCAGCATGGTGAGAAGGTGACAACAGTTGGTGCGATTCTTCGGAAATGGAAGAAACACAAAATAACTGTCAATCTCCCTCGGCCTGGGGCTCCATGCAAGACCTCACCTCGTGGAGTTGCAATGATCATGAGAACGGTGAGGAATCAGCCCAGAACTACACGGAAGGATCTTGTCAATGATCTCAAGGGAGCTGGGACCATAGTCACCAAGAAAACAGTTGGTAACACACTACGCCGTGAAGGACTGAAATCCTGCAGCGCCCGCAAGGTCCCCCTCCTCAAGAAAGCACATATACATGCCCGTCTGAAGTTTGCCAATGAACATCTGAATGATTCAGAGGACAACTGGGTGAAAGTGTTGTGGTCAGATGAGACCAAAATGGAGCTCTTTGGCATCAACTCAACTCGCCGTGTTTGGAGGAGGAGGAATGCTGCCTATGACCCCAAGAACACTATCCCCACCGTCAAACATGGAGGTGGAAACATTATGCTTTGGTGGTGTTTTTCTGCTAAGGGGACAGGACAACTTCACCGCATCAAAGGGACGATAGACGGGGCCATGTACCGTCAAATTTTGGGTGAGAACCTCCTTCCCTCAGCCAGGGCATTGAAAATGGGTCGTGGATGGGTATTCCAGCATGACAATGACCCAAAACACACGGCCAAGGCAACAAAGGAGTGGCTCAAGAAGAAGCACATTAAGGTCCTGGAGTGGCCTAGTCAGTCTCCAGACCTTAATCCCATAGAAAATCTGCGGAGGGAGCTGAAGGTTCGAGTTGCCAAACGTCAGCCTCGAAACCTTAATGACTTGGAGAAGATCTGCAAAGAGGAGTGGGACAAAATCCCTCCTGAGATGTGTGCAATCCTGGTGGCCAACTACAAGAAACGTCTGACCTCTGTGATTGCCAACAAGGGTTTTGCCACCAAGTACTAAGTCATGTTTTGCAGAGGGGTTTAATACTTATTTTCCTCATTAAAATGCAAATCAATTTATAACATTTTTGACATGCGTTTTTCTGGATTTTTTTGTTGTTATTCTGTCTCACTGTTCAAATAAACCTATCATTCAAATTATAGACTGATCATTTTTTTGTCAGTGGGCAAACGTACAAAATCAGCAGGGGATCAAATACTTTTTTCCCTCACTGTAAGCTCGGCCCTCGCCGAGTTTACATTTACAAGCAAATTTCTCTCTCCTATTCGCACTCTCCTGCTCGCTCCCTACATCAATATTAGCTGCCCATCTCTAAATCTTTATAAACAGCCTGCCTCAGCAGATTCCCCCTCTTCACCTGAAGACGGTTGCTTGTGTTGCGATCGAAACGTCGTGATCTATAATTTTTGCTACCTACGTGACTCTACCGATAGAACCAAAGAGCATAGGCAGATATTGCAAATATCACCCCCAGGGGTCGGTGGACTTGGATCTTCTCTGCATCCCCAGAACGCAGCTCAAGTCCACGGGGCAATCTCTGGGCCTTCGCTTCTGTTGCACCTGGACTATGGAACTCTCTCCCGATGGCTGTCAGGAAGTCCGGATCGGTTGGGATCACGAAGTAATTCCTCCTGGATATTGTATATATCTACGTGCAACTCTCGATGGCAAAACACTGCCCATGGCATGCAAATTGGAGCTTGGCAGAAAGGACTTGCCCCTGAAGCCCATGGGAAAGAATTGACGCAAAACGATGAGGGATGCAGATTCGAGTTTGTGTGCAAAGTTGTGTAGTTGACCAAAATCACTGCGCTACGATTTCATCTTCAACGAGCACACTGGAAGCAGACCACCAATCCACAGCCTGCCCTACAGTCACTTGCAACAATGGGCTGGAACATTCGAAGATGGCTAGCTGTCGCCAAAGCTGGTACACTTGCTCTAATTCCAGAGTCGTGCAAGGATATTGTCTCACGCGGATGCACAAAGCGATGCACATCGATTGATTTGCACCGGAGCTTGAACGTTTGGCAGACAATGACAGCATTTGTAGGAACAAATTTGGAAGAAAAGAATACCTGCTGTTACGTGAAGAAAGTGTCCTACAAGTTGGATATGTTTGAATCGGAAGTGCCTTGTGACTCGACATGGAACTGTTTGGAGTTAGCCAGTCATGGCAGGCGATGCATATACATGTCAGTTGCGTTTTGTAAGTTAAATTTATATTTACACAAATCAAGGATGCGCAATATGTATGTGTTACATAATTTCCCGTAACTATTTTCCATTGTAATGTTCTTCGTAATAATTTACACCCATTTAAATTGAAGATAGCCATATTCTGATATGGCCAGTGTGTTTGTAAGCATCACAAACATGTTCTAGGACGCAACCATCATGTCATGTTAGCACCACTCACTTCTAGAACTATCTTGCTTCCTGGTTTTTGCTCCCTTCACTGGCCTTTTTAATGTCCTCTCCTAATTTAAGATCTGCACTTCTTGCACGCGTGGTTTGAGACCCCCACGCAAGTTGGTGTCATTTCTGTATTACCTCCCAGAGGTGGGACAAAGTCATTGTTATGCAAGTCCAAGTCGAGTCTGAAGTCATCAAATTCATGACTCGAGTCTGACTCGAGTCCAAGTCACATGACTCGAGTCCACACCTCAGAGGTGGGACAAAGTCATTGTTATGCAAGTCCAAGTCGAGTCTGAAGTCATCAAATTCATGACTCGAGTCTGACTCGAGTCCAAGTCACATGACTCGAGTCCACACCTCAGAGGTGGGACAAAGTCATTGTTATGCAAGTCCAAGTCGAGTCTGAAGTCATCAAATTCATGACTCGAGTCTGACTCGAGTCCAAGTCACATGACTCGAGTCCACACCTCAGAGGTGGGACAAAGTCATTGTTATGCAAGTCCAAGTCGAGTCTGAAGTCATCAAATTCATGACTCGAGTCTGACTCGAGTCCAAGTCACATGACTCGAGTCCACACCTCTGTTACCTCCTGCCAGTGTTACTTGAATGGTGCATAGATCGAATGTTCTTTTCATAGATTGTATGCTACTGCAATGTTATTCGCTGCTGTAACTTCATTTTTTCACCAAGGTCTTTCGCGGATCATTCTTGTAAACCAGCTTAAAGATGAAAGTGCCTTTTACCCGCGGAAGTAAATAAAATCAATGAATGAGCCCCCGAAACCGGAGACCGGGTTGAACGCTGCAACTTCCCCGCAGTGACGGCAGGGGACAGTCGTGCTCCGTGGTTTTCGTGAGAACCCTCACATATCCCGTCTCCGATATCGATAACACGAAACGATTAACCCACCCAGCATTCGAATATTTTACGACTAAAATCAGAGGTCAAGAATATTTTTTTTGTCTCAATTGGGCTATCTCTCGGTCTGCAATGTTTGTATTGTCGCTGTCATCTGTGCTCTGTCTAGTTAATATATCCACACATTTATTTTCCCTGAGTTGCTTACTTTTCCTATACAGTACTTTGCACCCCTATCTTTCTGTATTGTTTATTGTTGTAACTTTCTGACCCGACCCTTCTGGACATCTATGAAAAAGAGGTTCATAGCTCATTGAATTTTCTTCCAGGATGAATAAAGAGTCTGATTTGGATTTCGTGTATTGTATAGTTTTTCATCGAACTAATTTCACCAGAATTGGTTAATCCAGCCTGTCGCTCTAATTAGACAATGCATGCTTGTGCTTGTGTTGAACCAATGCTGCTGAAGAAAATCACTCCCAGAAGATTGTGTTGCTGATGGGATGTGTAAAAAAGACTTTGTTACGTACAGGGACAGATATGGGAATTATGCATATTGTATGCGCATTTATTTTTTGCTAGATTTGTTGATTAAGCGAGCGCATTATTCGGATACACGACTCGTCAAGTGGAGAGTCGTGAAATGAATCTCCCTTAACTGGCATCACAGTCCATCTTAATCACGCCTTGTTCGTGCAGTTTAACATGTCTGTCTTGTCCCATATTAATCTCTTTCATTCCGCCTAATGTCTCCGCGCTGTCTCATTTAACGTCAGTCCTGTTCCGACCTTTAGCGAAAAACGGTAATCACAAAATAAGCCTCCTTCACATATCTGTATCTCCACGTAAAAAATATTTGTACACATCCCATAAGCC